CGCGACAAAAACTCTATCACTTTTTTGTCTATTTGGATTATCACAAGAAACAGTGAAACTAGTATGGGCGTCGAAGCCGTTGTCTAACGGATGGGATACTTTGTCTGTCACCGACATCGCATGGACGCCATTATTAGCAGAAGGTGTTAGGTGCTCGGTGTTTTGTGAATGAAGATTTCCACGCAGTTCTTCAATCTCTTCGTCCGTAACTGGTATAGCAGGTATTTCATGACTCTCGTTTTCGAGGTGTTCTAGCGCCTCAAGATTTTTTTCTGAAATGCGAATTTTCTGATACAATGGATTATTCTCTATAAGCCATTTTAATGCATGACGTAATAAATCAGGACGCACTCTAAAATATTTTGTCATATTGTTGGATTTGGACGCCAGCAACACAACACCACATTCCTTGAGCGGTCGAGGAAGCTCCTTTACCATTTCGGCAGGCTCATTCCAATAGTTAATCGCGTTGCCTCAAGTGAATTCCGGCCCATCTCTGTATAGATTCACGCACGTAGTGAAACAAATGCCCAAACCAATTAACCTAGATTCAATATTATTTAATAACGCAAGCTCTTTTGGAACGCTGCTTATTCGAAAACCGCTACATCGTGAAAACTTTGGAGTTTTTCGAGCTAGCAGAGATCTGTAGCAACGCGTACACAGCCATATCGAAGTTTTTCCTTCTCCATTTTGTTCGTGCACAAGTCCTTCGGAAATAATCTCACACTCTCCGTTCGAGTTGCACAGAGGAGAAAAGAATGCGTGTTTCGAATCGTATGATCGTAGTACTGCATAGTCTGAATTTGCGAGCTCGCCGCAGCAGCCGCATACACGACAGAGGGGCGCATCAATAGCGCCAAAAAAGTCTAAAACCATTTTTTGTGGTTAGTCATAGAATTTTACTCCATAACAATATAAGCAGCTAAGACATACCTTTTTTGTCAAGCTCCAGTTGCTCATGTTCACTTGCGTCCTCGCGACGATTCGCCTTCTTGCGGCGCTTGTTTGGCGGAAGGCACTGAGCGTGTGCGTTTCGCTTTTTTGTATCTTCTACTCGTGCTAAGCGAGTCTTTCCTTGCCCAGCTTCTATCGCGCCGATTCCAACCTCACCTCCGTGTGCTGTTTGTTGGTCTGCTGAAGCTGTCTGTGTGACCACTCGCCTTAGGACGCGCTTCGCAGCTTTTGCTGACTTGGCTGCTTTAGTAGAGCGCGACCGCTTGGTAGGTGATCGTGCCATTTGGCGCAAATTTAGTTGTGGCTCTTTTGTTTGCTGCGGCACGAAAATATTTGACAGATCAGTGAATCGAATCTTCTATTTTTTGCGTGTTGAATGTAGTTGAAGTAGATTGTTCTGTAAAAAGTCGGATCTTACGGTAACGATGAGGCCAGCTTATCGTATCCAGTCAAAGTTGTATC